TTGGCAAGGTCTTATCTACAGGTAACCCTAGTGTTTGTGTCTTAGTTACTTTTGGGTTGCTGTGATAAAACACCATAATGAAGGCAATTTACAGAAGAAAGAGTTTATTTTGGATGATGGTTCCAGAGGGTTAGGGTTCATGAGGGCAGAGAAGGGGCATGGGAGCCGGAGCAGGAAACAGAGAGCTCACATCTTCAAGCCACAAGCACAAGGCAGAGAGAAATCAAACTGGAAATGGTATGAGCCCACTCCTGGTAACATACTTCCTTCAACAAGGGCACATGTCTCAAACCTCCCCAAACAGTGCTTGAATGTTCAAATGGGTGGTGGTGGTATTTCTCATTTAAACCAGCACAACTTACTAGCAGGAGACATAATAATTGTGCTCTTTGGGGTTTTGAAAGAATGGCCACTACCACCACCAACCAAGCTCAGGGTTTTGGCTTGGAGTTGCAGTGAGATGGTGTGAGGGTCCAAGGAAGCTGTTTCTAGAAATAGTAGCATGATGTCTCATGATGTCAGGAGGGTCCAGCTTCACCCCAAGGCCTTGGGGTTTGCAAAGGCAAAGTCAAGGGCTGAGGTAAACAACATTGTCTTGCCGTGGGAAAACTCCAGCATGAAGTTGTTGAACTGGAAGATAAGTCAGAGAGGAGAGCCAGGGGCAAAGGGGCTGCATGACTGTTCTTCTTGCAACTCAAGGGAGACAGTCCAACTTCTACCCATTCCTAAATAAGACTTCTCTGGACTGAGCACCGTAAATGGCTAAATCAAATGGATTATAGCCCATCTCCCCCAAATGCAAATGTGTGCAGAATTAATCCACAAAGCTGAGCTGAAGGCATCCTACCCGAGCTACTCTTTCTTCCCTGGAACAGCTTCAAGACTAAGGCTCCTATATGCCATTTCTCTGCTTTCCTAGTTTATGGCCCAACTTTCCCAATGTGTTAGATGGGTGGGACCCTGTTGAAGCACCATCCTTGCTACCAGTTTTCTCCATGCAAAAATCCCACCACTAATAAACAGCTTGCACACTCCGGTAGATCAGGGAGCTCTTCTTTCTCAACAGTGCACTTGCAAAGAAGTCTAAGCAGCTTCTCTTTTGTTTTAAAGCTGTTCCCTACAAGCAGCAATAGTTCTAAGAGCAGGGTTGTGCGTAGGATTAAATATGTTCTTTCCCTCTTCCCCCTCTCATGTTGTGAGTTAAATGTGCTACATAATGATAGTGCTAGTAACATAGATGTGTGTGTGTGTGTGTGTGTGTTGATTAGTTTTGGGGTTTGTTTTTTGTTTGTCAACTCGACACAAGTGTTATGCAATCTGGGAAGAAGGAAACTCAATTGAAAAATGACTGTAGGGAAATCTGTGGAGTATTTTCTTGGTTAATGATTGATGTGGGAGGGCCCAGCCCACTGGAGGTGGTTCCACCCTTGGGCAAGTGGTCCTGGAGGATATTAAGAAACAAGAGCCTGGAGAGCATAAGCACTGTTCTCCTGTGGTTCTGCTTCGGTTTTTGACCCCAGGTTTCTGCATTGGGTTCCTGTCCTAACATCTCACAGTGATGACTGTGACCTGAGAGTTGTAAGATGAGACAAACCCAGGTTGGTTTTAGTCAGTCCTTTATCACAGCAACAGAAAGCCTGCTAGTGAGACATTCAACAATCCTCAGAGTGACTCTTTTTTTTTTTTTTTTTTTGGTGGATATTATCTTTATTTTTAGAAAACACTAAGATTCAGCAAGGTTTATAGGTGACTGACTACATGTGTGAACACCCAAAATTCCAAAGTGGAAACCTAATCCACAATGTGATGGTGTTTCAAGGCCAGGCCTTTGAGAGACTACTGGGGAAGAAAGCTTTGCCCTCAAGAATAGAATTCATGCCCCGACTAAAGATGCTTCCAGGAACCTGTTTCCTCTTTTTCCATGTGAGGATGCAACAAGGAGGTGTCATTTCCAGACAACTGGTCCTCACCAGACACCAAATCTGTTAGTGCCTTGTACTGGCTGGTTTTGTGTCAACTTGACACAAGCTAGAGTCATCAGAGAGAAAGGAGCCTCAGTTGAAGAAATGCCTCCATGAGATCCAGCTGTAGGGCATTCTCTCAATTAGTGATTAATGGGGAGGGCCCAGCCCATTGTGGGTGGTGTCATCCCTGGGCTGATGGTCATGGGTTCTATAAGGCAGACTGAGCGAGCAAGGGGAAGCAAGTCAGTAAGGAGCTCCCTTCCATAGCCTCAACATCAGCTCCTGCCTCCAGGTTCCTGCCTTGTTTGAGTTCCTGCCCTGACTTCCTTTGGTGATGAACAGCAATGTGGAATCGTAAACTGAACACTGAATGCCCCACTCATATCTTACATTCCTCTCTGGAGCTGGGAATGAAGGCATGGGATCCCAAGTGCTGAGATCTCCTTTGTGGGATCAATTTCGTGGGCTCAGTGTGACCTTGAACTAACAGAGATCTGTCTGCCTTTGTCTCCTGAGTCCTGGGACTAAAGGTGTGTGCCATCACTGTCCAGCTTCTATATAAGCTAACTAGAGTGGCTGGTGGAATTAAAGGTGTGGTCACCATTGCCTGGCTCTATGGCTGTGGCTGGCTTTGCATTTTGATCTCCAGCTTTATTAAATCATGAACAATGTATCATCACATTGTACTTTTTGGGTTTTGTTGTTGTTTACTTTTTAAAGTTACTGTGGCAAAATGCGGCTGTGGAAAGATATTGTTTTAATCATTTTTAAGTGTACAGTTTCATGGCATTAGGTCCATTCACAATGTACACAACCAGGGCTTTACCAGAGCCTCCTAATCAGTCCAAACCAACATCCTACTTCTCCCTCTATGGCCCCAACTCTGTATTACCCTGTCTCTATGAATTTACCACAGATATGTAGAATCATACAATATTTTTCTTTTTAAATATAGTGTTCATTTATGTTTTATCACATGTCAGAATTTTACTATTTTTAAAGTCTGTATACTATTCCATTGTATAAAAGAATCCGGGCCTTGAATGACCTCATTAAGTCACCACACCTTCTAGGATGCCTTGTTAAGTTGGATAAACTATACTTTTAACAGCCCTGCTGTCCTGGAACTCACACTGTGGCCTAAGCTGGCCTCAAACTCTGAGATCTGCCTGCCTCTGCCTGGGATAAGTATACTGGGATAATGTGTACTTCTTTAGGTCATGGAGAGCTGTTTGTTCAGGCATACCTCAGATCCTTCCACAGCAGCTCCAGGTGAGTGGCACAGAGTACCCAGGATGACAATTAGCTGGCATGTGACAGAATATCTCAGAATGGTTGATGCGTGTATCTAAAGCTATTTTTTTGCACATAAACACAGACCCATGATATTTTGATGATCATTCCTTGCTAACTTCAACACTTACAATTACTTGGTACCTAATATTTAGCTCTTCATTTAGTAAAAAAAAAAAAAGGGGGGGGGTGGCTGGTCAGGCAGTGGTGGCATACACCTTTAATCCCAGCACTCAGGAGGCAGAGGAAGGTGGATCTAAGTTTGATGCCAACCTGGTCTATGCAACAAGTGTCAGGCCAGCCAGAACTACATAGTAAGATCCTGAATAAAAACAAACTCAAAAACCTGAATAAGCATGTATAGATTCTTTTCTGTGACTACCATTAAAAATCAATCATGATACAAATATACAAAAATATACATTCATTGTAAGATTGTGCTATGTCTTCTGCAATGATGACACTATGTATCACCTCATAAACATTTAGAGCTTTGCTTTTGCTTTCTGGCTTCCAGTTTTTCCCATCCTGGGAGAGGACAAAAGCCCTTTAGAGATCCATCAATCCAACCCTTTCATTTCATAGACAAAGGGGAATAGCTGCCCACTGGCACATTCATCCTAGGCGGCAGAGTCTGGCTTGTAAGTAGGTCTCCTGGCCCCCAATGGGCACTTTCTCATTATTTGACATGACTCACGGTTAGCCACATGCTCAGCCTGTACTTGTTTGGAGTGCTTCAGTCTCAAATGGGCTGAGGTTCTATGAGGGAAAGGTACAGGTCCCTGTGGGCCTCCCTAGCTTGGTATGTACATTAGGCGCTAGACGTGAAGATGGTAAAAACCCATACTCTGCACAAACACACACCACACACATCACACCCACACCCATGGTCAGACCACCCTAAATAAGAAACACTCCCTGAGTCAAACACTGTGTGAGGGACGTTTCTAAAGGCTCACATGAGAGGTTATTGATTTTAAGGCAAACAACTGGCAAATCACACCCACCCCAAGTTCTGTGAATAAAACTACCCTGGTTGCAGACTGACAAGGTCAGGGAACATTGCACAGAGTCCCTAGCTACCACGCTCCACGCTCTCAAAAGGATTGATAATTCGTGGCAAGAACTGGTTCCAAACTCCAGCTGAAACAAAACCACATGTGGCTGGATCGTTTTCAAAAGCCTGACCATTCTGATGTCTATGTCTGACCTCCTACTTGTGTGCATCCACACTGCACAAGTCCCAATCTGGCCATCCATGCTTCTGGCTGGCAGCACCAGGATGCTCTGTGGTAACATTCACGAGAGAAGTAGGAAAAAAGGTGGTCAGACCTCTCACAGCCAGAGGTGTGTTCTTCATGTCTTTTGAAGATTTTTTAATATGGGGGGGGGTGCACGCCATTAGTCCCAGCACTTGGGAGGCAGAGGCAGGAGGATCTCTGTGAGTCCGAGGCCAGCCTGGTCTACAGGCTGGAGCCAGGACAGGCTCCAAAGCAATACAGAGAAACACTGTCTCAAAAAAAAAAAAAAAAAAAAAAAAAAAAAAGAATATTCATGAACTATGCAAATTATGCACACCATTTTTTTAAAAAAAGTGCTAGAAACTGACCATCTTGAGTTTATCATCAGAAAGCACCACAATCCTAGGACGGCAGAAATGTACCTTTCTTGTGCTCCACAGGTTTCTTGAAAGCCGACTCACTCATATAGAAGCATTTCTTAGACGCTGCTTTCTCAAACGACGATGAATCATTTTGTTTACAAAACAGGAGGCAGCTGGGTGTATGTTTCATCTCAGGCAACAAACTGTGCACGCATCACATTCCGTGCCTCTTTCCATATAGCCTGTTGCCTTTCATACACAGACTCCTGGAAAATTCTCTCCACTTGTGTAGAAAAGCCTCGGCTTTCTTCTTCTAAGGCATTGATAGTCTGTAGCGCCAAGGGAGTCCTTTCCCGAGGGAGAGGGCTGTTCAGGGGCCGCATGGGTATGACGGAGTTGTACTTGTGCTGCCGGTTGACAGAATTCATCAGGGAGGTGTAGAACTGAAAGTTACACCAGGTGTCTCTTAGGAAGTTTTCAGTCAGTAACAAGATTGTCCATGCAGACCCATTTACAGCATCATCTAGATTCTGCAAATGCAGCCTGCCACACGGCATCTCGGCGAAAATCATCCCAGGCCTGATACCGAAGTCATTCTGTAGTAGATTCTGGACTCTGAGGGCCTCATCTATGTCGTCTTGTGCATGCAGTATCACAAATTTGAGGAAGACTTCTTCTTCGGCTTCCTCCTCAGGCAGCTCTCCCTTCGCCTCCGCTCCCCACTGCTCTTCCATCCGCTGCTCTGTTCTATTGCTATGCTCCACAAGACCATGCAAGGACAAATCCTTAGAGTTCTTGGCCTCCGACTCATGGCAGTCTTGATCTGCATCCTCACTGCGTCTTCTATGCCAAGAAAGAGGGCAGTTATCTAGTTTAGACTTCCCAGCACCCATGGCGGACTTACGGGGCAGAAGAGGGAGGTTTATTTGAGTCTCACATTTCTTCTCAATCTAAAAAGGAGGTAACAAAGCAGAATATTATATGCTTAATCAAAGCACTAAAAACCTAGCTCAAACTGAAAAAATAAAATGCACTGTGACATATGGGCCTAAGAAAGAAATGGCAGCCAATCAAGAAATCAAACTATCAGGCTTTTCTGAGTTACACTAGGGCTGCCAGAGACAAGAGAACCTTTTTGGTAGCAAACACAGATACAAATGATGCAAACATCCCAAAGATGACTGACAGTTGCTCTACAGAGTCAGCACCAAAAGATCTGAAAGGTCAGTGTTCAGGATTCAGGGCATTGCTATGGTGGGGGAAGAAATTAGGATAAAAGACATCTTTTTCCAGATAGTCTTCGGAATCTTAGAGGACATTCACCTGAGTAAAGTTAACGTCTCAGTTTGGATCAAAGTCTAGGGACTAAGATCTGCAGCTTTTTCCAGTAAGGCCAACCTAGGATGATATAATTTCCATTCATTCTTTTGGTGATCTGCAATTCTGGAATTAGAAGAATTAAACCAGCTGTGAAAGAAAAGTCATCCACATGAATGGAATTGAAATAACTTCAGAAGGTGTTGGCAATGTTAACTTCAAGGGGAATTCTTTTATCAAAAGATAATTTCGAATAGATGAATATTACTTTCATATTTTGAAATATAAGCTATGGGATATATTATTTATTATTTATGCTCAAAGACCAGATTAAAAAATAAACTAGACTTTTGAACCTATGCCTTTTTCCAGCTTGCACACATCCTTGGGTCTGTCTTTCTCTTTATTGGTTAACTTTCTCTGTTTATAGCACAGTCACATCCACAATGACCTAAATAATACAATGACAAAATTCCACATAATTCAGATTTAGAAGAAGTGGTGGTGGTAGGAAATCTGCAATCTCATTCTAATGTCTACACAGGCTAAAATCCCTTTCTGCTTCCTCTGGACAGCGAAGGCAGTAATGACCACTGCTTGTCACTTGTGGTATTTGTACTTTAAGTCTGGCTCCAAGGTGCTGGGTGACCAAGAGGTAGTCTAAAGTGCCGCTCTAAAATGTAGCCCACATACATTGAAAATAATAAAACCTAATTGATTTTCCATTCGTCTCTGGCTAGGAATCACTGCTGCCTTTTGTTACTGGTGAGGGTCTCATGAGGTCACTGCTCACCACGTATGTCTGTGTTTACTTCACATCTTATAAAAAGACAGCGATTCTCTTGGGCATATTCCCAGAGGAGACTTCATCCCACCATAGCAACACTTGCTCAACCATGTCCATGGCTGCTTTATTCTTAATAGCCAGAGTTCAGAAAGAACTGACATGTCACTCAGCAGATGAGTGGATTAAGAAAATGTGGTACATTAATACAATGGGACTCAGCCATTAAAAAAAAAAAATGCAGGAAAATGAACTAGAAAAAGTTATCCTGAGTAAGGTAACCCAGACCTAGAAGGCAGATATAATAAGTATTCACTTATATGGGAATATTAGACATTAAGTCAATGGTAACCAAGCTACAATCCATAGAATCACAGAAGTTAGGTATAGAGTAAGTGGGTGCAGATAGATATCCCCAGAAAAGGGAAATTAAGTATTTATGGATGGATGGATAGCAGGGGGACTGGAACAGGAGGATCAAGAGGGGAAGGAGAGGGTAGAGGGATTATGAGGGGGAGAACAAGGGACAGACACCTAAAATTAATGGCCATTTGAGAAACAATATGGAAATCTAATACAGCAGAAGCTGTTTTATATATATATATATATATATATATATATATATATATATATATATATGAATGAAGGGGAGCTAAATGAAATAACCAAATAATGATGAAGACAGCTCCAACTGACCATCTCATCACCAAATGAAGCTTCAAGTCCCAGGATTGGGTTGCATCTAATTGAATTTTTGGCCAAAGGGGTCTCATGGAAACCCCCAAAAGAGACCAGGCTATTGCCAAGACAAATGGATGGTAACTCACCATTGCTAAAGGCAACACCTATACAACTCACTGCACCTGGGCTACCAAAGGAGAAATGTAAACACCAAGCCAGACACTAATAGGTTGATCTTTAATGGTGTCCTGCCTGCAAGATAGGCTAGTGCAACAGTGGCACAAAGCTTGATTTGCCTTAAGGTTTATCCCATAAGACAGAACCCATACAAAACACTGCTTGGGTGACCATGAACCTGAGACCAGATAGCCCGGGGACCTAGGGCAAAACCAAATACTACTGTTCTATAAATAAATAAATAAATAAACAAATAAATAAATAAAGTATAACAATAAAATGACTCCTAATGACACTCAGCAATGCGAATAGATTAGATCAGTGGTTCTCAACTTTTGGTGACCACCAACAATAAAGTTATTTTCATTATACTTCATAACTATAGTTTTGCTATTATGAATCATCATGTAAATATATGGCCTGCAGATAGTCTTAGGTAACCCCTGTGATAGGGTCATTTGACCCCTCAAAGTGTGTGGGGTCCCATCCCACAGATTGAGAACCGATGGATTAGAGCCTTGTTCAGTCTCTATCAAAGAAGATTCCTTCTACAGCAAATGGGAACAAAAACAGAGACCTCACAACCAGACACCGTACAGAGAGTGAGAGACCTTAGAACACCGTCCTTAAATAGGATGTCTCTGCCAAATCCCTCCCTGCAGGACTCAGGGACTCTATGGAGAGAGGAGGCAGAAAGAGGACCTGGAAAGAGTGGAAGTGACAGAGAGGATGGAGGACAATGGAAAACAAGGCCCTCAAATCAATGACCAACACACATGTGAACTCAGACGGATCTGTAACATAGAATCTAGAGCTGAAAGAAGAGGGCACATGGCTGCATCCCTAACACGGAAGCTATCTCCGATTGATAGCAATGTGAGAATTAAAGTTTAGTTCCTCCAAGGGAGTCTCACTGGGGAAACACACTATTCTTAACGGTAGTCTGCATGCCGAGCAGTAATGGCCAACAGAAAACAAACTCAATGGCATCTTTATAGGTTCTTTGTCTCGTGTCATGTCAGATCTTATCCTTTTGTTTGTTTTTTTTTAAATTTCATGTCATTTAAATTTTTTTTTACTTGATTACACATATGCATACACACATGTGGAGAAATAGAGCAGAATGATGAATAGACATTTTTTGTGTTTAAGTGAGTCTGTTGAGGGAATAAAGACTAGAATAAAGACTAATGAGGACAAGAAGTATCCATGCAGAAACCTGGAAGGAGAGCCTTCTGGGTAGAGAGCAGCAGACATACAGGTCCTGAGGCTATTGAATGCCTTGCATCTGGGAAGTGATGGGAGGTGAGGGTACAGGTAGAACATGAACTGAGCCATCCCCTGGGCAAGAGCAGATAGCAAAAGAAGGCAGAGAGAAGGCAGTTTGATCTAACTGATTTCACAGGATCACTCAGTGCTTGCACTAGAACAGAATGAAGAGAGCAACTGCAGATGCAGGATCACTAGAGTCCGTTGTAGAAACTTCGCAGAAAATAATGGTGGCTTGAGACAAAGTGACTGCAAGGCAAGTGGCTGGATTGGTGACATGTTTTGCAAACAGGACTGAAAGGAATTGATGCCGGATACTTTGCCTTTGGGAAAGAGGTTAACCCTGGCAATACATATTTGTCATCTATCTTCATACATATTGTTTTTTAAAACCTAAAGGCCTTTTGCGATCATCAAAGATAAGAGTATAGATAGGAAAAGGAAGTGCCCCGGGGCTTAGCTCCTAGGCACTCCAACATTAAGAAGGTCAACCAAGGAGTCTGAGTGATGGGGAATAATGTGGATACTGCTGCCCCAGATGTCAAGGGAAGAGCCAGTTCAAGGGAGTGTATAACTGCTTTCAAGTGCTTGTGATCAGCCCAGGGGGATGAGCACGGAGAAACACAGAGCAGAGAGAAGTACCATGAGGTGAACATAGTCATGGCACAGGGGGAACGATGGAAAATACCACTTAGATAGAGTTCAAAAAGAAGCCGGAATAAACCAATATAGAAAGAAAGCCCATGTGTCTCATTTTTGAGACAGGGAGTTGGAGCTTAACTATTGCTAGCTGGCCAGCAAGTTCCAGAGATCTGAGTTTGCTGGGATAAAACTTTCTTCTTCTTCTTCTCCTCCTCCCTCCCCCTCTTTCTTCTTCACATGAGTTCTGAAAATCAAGCCCAGGTCCTCCTGCAAGCACTGTATTGACTGAGTTACCTTCCCAGCCCTAGAAAACCATTTGGAAAAGTTTTGTCACAAAGGAAAAAGGTAGAAAAATGAAGAAAGTCTGGTAGAGGGGAAGGATACCTAGAGAGGATCATTTACAAAGATGTCTATCAGTAGAAAAGAGCAAGTATTAAAAGAAAAATTTATTCATGCATGAAGTGACGGGCAGAGACAAGCAGAAGTAATAGTATAGACACAGGTGTGTGTGTGTGTGTGTGTGTGTGTGTGTGTGTGTGTGTGTGTGTGCGCGTGCGTGTGTATGATATGGGGGGGACTGGTGAACCTCTGAAGGTCTCTTATAGGAATGGAGGAGACCTTTCTGCAAATTGCCTCAGATCTCATTTTGAAATGTAACAGGTTGTGCCTGTTGGGGAGAAATACCATATCTGCATGTTATTATCCCTGTGCAGCCTCACAGCCAGTGAGCCCCAGGCTCACTCCTTTCCCTGAAGATGTCTGTGGTAGGAAGGAGAGCAGGTCACAGCTGCAGAGCTGCTCTTTCTGCAGAAATTTCCCAGAACACCTCAGGGGTGTTCCAGCTGCAAGCATCTAGTCCTGCTATTGACTAAACATGGAAGCATCGGTGTGCACATCCCCTTCTTGCAAAGCTTAGTCTCCAGATTCAGCTCTCTGTGATGGGCAATTTCAGATGTTGGCTCCCTAGGCCTTGGTAGCCAGGGGTTTGGCCAATGCCAGTCTATGAAGGTGTTTAACATTTAAGTCAGTAAATTTGGAGTGAATGGGATTAGCCTTCATAATGTAGCTGGGTCATACCCTATCAGTTGGATGTCCAGAGGATGGATTCTGCCTACAGAAGTCAATAAAGACTTGAGACGCAAGAGTTTATCAACTTACTGTTGTTGTTATTATTGTTGTTTTTCCAAACTTGAGACTGAACCCAGCACCTAAGACTTGCTAGGGGACCACTTTACCTCCGAGATTCATCCCCAGCCCCGGGAAGACACCCTCTCAATCCTCAGTCTGGTTTGCCTTACTTAGCCCTCTCTGTCCTGCAAGCCAATCTGTGAAATTCATCATTCTCCCGGCCTCCACTTACCTGGTATTAGTCCAGTTGCTCCAGAAGGAATCCTAATACAGTCTTCCTTGGAAGGCTGGAGATGTAGCTCAGCTGACGGAGTGCTCACCTGAGTTTCCTGTCATTAGGTTAAAAGTTAATGTTCATCTTTTTAAAACATTTTGACCACCTGGTTAGGTGCTCTTAAATAGTGAGTAAAATAATAATCAACAATAATCTGATAGAATACATATAAACATTAAACTTTGAGCATGTGTGCTTATCATAGGAAAAGATTATATATTTAAATAAGTACCTTTGAAATTTAACACATTTAAAATCCTAGTATGACTTGAGTTGGAGAACCTTTTTTACCTTTCATATCTGAATAGCACCATCTTGTGGCAGAAATGTGTAAATTGGCTTCTTGTCCAACTAACGTTTTGCTATAAATAAATAAATAAATAAATGCTTTATTGCTATTTACAGGTTTTGCTGGAAAGTTATTCTACACCCAAGACTTGCTGGGTTTGAAGGATGTGAAGCCAGGATGGACAGACAGACAGTTAGGAACCACTGCACTTTTGTTTTATGCAGGGTGCCAGGTGGTAGGAATGCACTCAGGAGGGCCACCTGCAGCAGGGAGCAAGGACCAGGAACACACGGTTCTCAGAGACATTCAGGAATCAGAGGCCCAGCTACTTCAGGATCATTTTGCACTAGAAATTTATAGGGTTAAAGTCCACACATGTGGGATGGGGGTGGGGAGGGGCCAGAGGTAAGAGATGGCTTAGTAATTAAGCACGCATACTGGACTTGTTGAGGAGTCGGGTTCTGTTGTGGAATACATAACTATGTAAAGGTGTGTTACATTTGTTTATGCTGTGGAATGTTACTTTAATTGTGTAAAGGTGTGCTGTACTTGTTTATGCTGCATTTACTTAATGATGTAAGGATGTGTTACATTTGTTTATGTGGTATTTGTTTAACTATGTAAAGATGTGTTGCATTTGTTTCACCTTGTCTGCCTAAGGTGCCTGATGGGTCTAATAAAGAGCTGACTGGCCAATAGGTAGGCAGAGAAAGGATAGGCAGGGCTGGCAGGCAGACAGAAAAATAGGAGAAATCTAGGCTCAAGAAGAAGAGAGGAGAGAAGAATGAAGAGAACGAGGGAGAAAGAGGAGATACCAAGGGCCAGCCAGGCAGCCAACAGCCAGCAGACACAGAGTAGGTCATACAAAAAGAAGGTAAAAAGTCTGAAGGCAAAAGGCAGATAAAGAGAAACAGGTTAATTTAAAAGAAGTAGCCAGAAACAAGTCTAAGATAGGCCAAGCATTCATAACTAATGATAAGTCTCTATGTCATGATTTGGGAGCTGGTTGGTAACCCAAAAGAAAATGTCTGGTATAGGGTTCAGATCCCAACATCCATGTTGGGTGCTCACAACTGCCTATAACTTCAGCTCCAACAGATCCAATACCCTCTTCTGGCTGCTATGGGCTCCTATACTCAAGTGCAAATATCCACACACAAAAAGTGTAGTCCAATGTGGACAGGCTACTTCTCAGACTGTCAGCAGAACATCCCAGTGGTACTGGTTTTTGGAGGCATGAAAGATGTAAAGTTGAGGGATCATAGAGTCCTGATCCAGAGTTTCAGACAGCAGCTGAGGGACAGGCAAATATGTGGCAGGATTAGAGTCCTTGCAAGAAGTGTTGAGACCTTTGTGTGAAACTGTAAAGATCAAATCTAGCATTCAATGGAGATCCCAGGATGTTGGTGATGGCAAAACTGTGAGCTGTCTGCCATGGAAATCTATGGGTATGGAGTAGAGGGGGCTCAAGAGCGAGGAGGCTGTGTGCTACAGGTGGCAAAGCTGGAGGAGTTAGGCTACCCAAGACTTTTAGAGCCTGGCCAACTAAATTGTGACAGTACGACCACCACCTCTATACTGGACACTGAGCTGTAGGACTTGGCGTTTACCCTCCTGGATTTTGGTTTGATTTTTATCTGGGTATTCTTTGCTGTGCTCAGTTTCTCTCTTTTGGAATAAGAATGCTAACTTTGAGAGGGCTGGAGAGATGGCTCAGGGGTTATGAGCATACTGTTATAGCTAGAAAAGTATGTTATAGCATACTATTCTTGATGGAGGACCTAGGTTCAGTTCCCAGCATGCAAGTCATGTGGCTCACAACATGTGGCCAGCTCCAGGGGCTCTGACATGTTTGGCCTCTAAGAGCACCTGTAGGCGTGAGCACACCCCTCCACACACACACACATACACAAGATTAAAGATAAAATAAATCTTAAAAAGGTTGACTTTATACCATTATGTGTTAGAAGTATGAAATTTGGTTTTAAAGTTTTATCTGAACTCACAATTAAGAGAATTTTGACTTTCAAAGTATAGGGACTGTTAACGACTCTGAAATCTTTTGATGTTGGACAATGGATGTTAAGCCATTGTTTGTTAACAGTTGTGAGCCTACAGAGACAAAGAGTGAAAGGTTATGGCTTAAAAACAATGTGTGTTCATGTGAAGTTGACAAGGTGAAATCACAAGGTTAATGTTGTCAACTAGGATCTGGAATAATTTAGAAGCCAAGCACCCCAGCATAGCCATCAGGAATTATCTAGTTTAGTCTGGCCATGCCTGTGAGGGATTATTCAACTGTGGTGGGAAGGCCTGTGTATTGTGAATAGCTGATTAGCTACATTCCCTGAATTGGGATGGGATGTGGGACTGCATAAAAAGGAGGAAGTAAACCCAGTATTCTCCACCACTTTCGTTTCCTGCTTGCTATTTCAAGTTCCTACCACTCTGATTTTCCAGTGCTGGGTCTTCTGGGGCTTGCTAGCCGGCCAAGCTGAATTGGCTAGTTCCAGTGTAAGAGACCCTGCCTCAAATGCTGAGGTGGGTAACCATCCTAAGGGACAACTCCATTAAGTTGATTTCTGGCTTTTACAAATATGTGTGTGTGTGTGTGTGTGTGTTGTGTATATATTGTGTGTATATGTGTATATATATTGCAAGATCACAAAAATAAACACC